GAGATATACAGTTTTGAGTCATGTACACTTATGAGTAGGAATGCTTAGGCACTGCTGTTTCTCAGGAGGAATTTCAGACAAAATATAAATCTTTCAGGGTAGCGCTTAGACACAATTAACATTTCTAGATGTTTCCTATAACATAACAAATCTTTACTCTGAGTGCAGGTTCTCATTTAAAAATTAACTTTATTTATAATGGAGTTATTAATGTCAGTTGGATTGGGGTCAGTTTTAGCCAAGTTACTACTGTTAACACCCCATGTGAGTTTTTTTCTTTAAAGAAGCCATCACAGGATGCAGAACACATTTGCCTCATAATGCCAAATAAGTCACAATCTGGTAACGCACCAAGGGCAAGAGGTATGGGGAAATCTCACAAAAAAAAAGACAAGCAGCTATAAAATGTCTCCATTCTGTCCATTTTTTTAAAGAAAACTTTTGACCAGAGTTCCATTAAGAAAGGACACTTCAGGATGAAATGAAAAAGAAGTCTTGTTTCACATAGTTCTAAGCTCATCAAAACGGTTGCTGCAAGGAGCCTGCAGCGGGTATTTGGGAATTCCTCTTCTAGATCTCAATCACAAGCAGCGCGTTTTCAGGATAGAAGATTTTGGAGAAAAGAGGTTGGGTTGGAAAAGTGCACTACTGTCATTCCAAGTACTGAGAAGGTAGTCTTTGCTCCCTGTATGTATCTCAATGATTTATGTTGAATAGGGATGAGCGAATCTGCCCTGGAGGGTTTGTTGCACTGGCATTTAATTGCATTAAAGTCTATGGTAGAAAAATCTTATTAGTTTGTTATGGCCATTTAAAGGTTTATAGGCAAGCTATTGTAAAAAAAAAAAAAAGTATATGGGGGGCCAGGCACTGCCATGGGGGATGAGTACCAATGTAAAAAACATTTTTTGGAAAATACCTTACATCAGGGAGAGGGTCTTTTCATGCAGCTTTGAGGGCAACATTGAAAACACACAAATCCTTTAGGTAACATGCTTTGGGGATTTGGTCAAATTTGGTCAATGATGTCACCTGGACTTTCTGTCTGCCAATTTACATTAACACAACCAGAATCTGTCATGTAGTGATGGAAGTGCAGTGTGTAAACATGAGCGGGTTAGGGGCCCTTGTGATTGCAGAGGATTACATCACTGAATGTATTTCATCACAAAGGACCCCTTCGTAATGTATAATGTTGCTGCTGTGGCGATTGCTGTGATCAGTCAGGCCCACTGTGACTGTCAGATAGAAATTGACCAGTGATTTGCTGAGGCTGTCCCCGTTCTTGCTGATGCAAAACTGTCCTGCCGCTGGCCAATTTCTATCAAACTCTCATTAAGATCTAAGAAACCACAGATGATATACCAGTGTAAAATTTGCCAGCAGCAGGCTAAGGCTAACCCCAGTTTACTAGAGACAAAGAGCTGTTCTTCAATGAGGAAAATAATGCATCATGACCTCTAGATGGGGCTGAAGATCATGCTAAGGTATTTTTTTCCAGATTATCCCCAGCTCCATCTAGTGGTTGAAACACAGTATGAGTATGGCCCTATTCTCACAAAAGCTGGTTAACTCACACAGAACGAGCATGTATGCAGTTTCTCTAGGCCAGGGGTAGGCAACCTTGGCTCTCCAGCTGTGCTGAAACTACAAATCCCATGAGACATTGCAAGCCACAGGCATGACTCCTAGAGGCAGAACCATGATGGGATTTGTAGTTTCAACACAGCTGGAGAGTCAAGGTTGCCTACCCCTGCTCTAGGCAAATAAGCTATGCATTTTTTTTAGAAATATTCCCAAATGCCTCTTCTGCACTAAGATTCAAAGCAAAGTTGTTAGCCTTGCTCAGTTTTCTTCTGCTGAAATACAGAATACCCCCTCCTCATCTCCATAACATAAGGGGAGGTGTTTTGTAGTTCACAGAAGAAAACTAGACAGAGCTAGTAACACTTCTTTGGATTCAAGTGTAGCGGAGGCAGGAGGCACAGGAAGTTAAGGTACTTTTCTGTTCTCACAGTTCTTTATAAAGGTATAAAGCATGTATTAGAGAAATGTACTGAACATTTTTTTTTTTGCCCACATATGCACTTTAAAAAGCCAAGTCTACAAAAAAAATGTATTTCTTACAAAGGTAGTACCTGCTCAGTTGAGTAAATGAGTTGTAAAGGGGGCCATGCACTGTGTGAATTTCTTGAGGAACAGGCCGAAATTTGCACAGTGCGTGCTGCTGATGGCACCCTTTCAGCTGGCTTTCCCCAAACATCTCTTAGAAGGAACCGGTCGTAAAATCTTCGTATGAACAGAGCTGGCAGCCAATGAGCTTCTGGCTCTAATTGGGTATTCTGACAGTGGCCACTGACCACTGTCAGAATACAAAAGAAACAGCGGGGATTCCTCGATCAACACGCTTGTAGCGCTGATGGAGGAAGCTGCTCTATTTTTTTTGTTCAGCCGGTGGGTTGAACAAAACAAATAGAGCAGTGTATGGCTTATCACCTCTTTGGGCATTAGCTAATAAACATTTCCTGGCAAAGTTCCAGGCATTGTTTCTCCTTGGAGTTTTGATAGGTGTGCAGAAGTGAAAATTTAAATGTAGAGATCTCACCACATTTCTGAGTGAACTCCCTACAATGTGACTTTGGCATCAGAAGAAAACAATTTTAAAACATTCTAGAGGCATGCAGCTCTGCAGGACAAACTATAAACATGCTTTAGTTAAAAAAGTAATCTGTATTTGTTCATTTAAAGTGAACTGTTTTCCACCTCCTGGTATAGTGAGGCACGGTGATGTAGCCAAGACCTCATGGGTAACCACTGGGAAGGGTAGGTCACCATAGCCTTCCGGGGAGATGTTGTTTCTAAACTGAGGGATTCTGGAGGAAAAAAAGGACTTTTTAAATTAATGAGTGTAATGTCGTACGGCGCATTCATAAAATGAGGCACAAACATCATGCGTCTCATCTCACACTTGTGAAACAAATGGCAGACACACTCATTAATTCATAACTAGCTTTAAAGCAAGGTGCACATGAGAGGGCTTCACACAGTACAATGTGTGGTCCTAACTCTAATCTATGAGAGCCTCCATTTTGGAGCATATTTATAGCAAAGGATGAAATGGGTGCAGGTTCACCGGGAGGTAGCCCAACCTCCTTACGGCTTATGAACACACAAGGAGCCCCGCACATCAAAATGGCAGCTGAGGTCCCCAGTGTGTCCCCACACCAAATCCAACAATTCAAACGAATGGTAAACGAACTCATCAATTCCTAACTAGCTTTAACACAAGGTGCACAAGAAAGGGCTTTACACAGTACAAAAATAAACATTCCCAGCACACTCACCAGCCAGCCTGCAAAAAAATTTACACTGCCTAACTACTAAGGTTAAAAACAGAGGTTTTGTTTGCACAACTTTTGCAAACCTTGTGGAAGCCACACTGCCTCGTCAAGGCCCCTCTGTATAGTGCAGTCCTAACTCTAATCTATGAGAGCCTCCATCTTGGAACATATTTATAGCAAAGAATGAATCATCTCACACATGGACCATATGCCATTGCACTCATTTGTTTAAAAAAAAGCCTTTCCCCTGAAATCTTGCTGGATGATGCATGCATGAGATGAGGCATAAACGCCATCATTGGGCTAACAGGGAAAAATAAAGCATTATGTATCCAGACTTAGTGCTGTGTGTCCCAGCTCCTGGCTGCCAATTACTTTTTTTTTAACATCGGCACAGATTTCCAACCCATGAGGGACACAGCACTTCTATTTTTGCACTATAGAGGTAAAGGAATGATTTGTCTGGCTGACATGCCATTCTAATTGGCTTTAATACTTCCTGGATTAGTGACATGGTAGAGCATGCACATCACCAGTTTTGACATCTTTCACTGTACACTTGTTCCTAGTATTCATTCCAGGTTCTGGAGGGATAGGGATGAAGAAAGTAATATGGTGTCTGTAGAGCCAGAAGGTAAAAATTCAGATATGCCTGCAGGCTGAGCCATACATAGACATCATGCTACCCTAGGCACAATAAAAAATGATACCCAATTATACAAGCTCCACGCTTTTGTTGTGTCACTCTTTTAGTTAAGAACTAATGCTCAAGTGCACTATTAGATGTAGCATGCCAATGCTTTATATGCACAACTACTTTTTTCAACTGTTCAGGCCACCAAACTAGAGAAAGGAGACATGGTGGTATGTTTATTGAACTGTAAAGAACCCTCATCCAATGCACCCCCTTTACCTATAGTTCTGCACAATGTTGCCTCAAATATCCAGAGGTAGACAGTAGAAGAAAAACTATCACAACTGTTCAGTTTGAGGCCTGGTGCTGCCTTTTGTAACACTGCTGCCCTAGGCACTGGCCAACAAGTTCAATTATGGTAAATACAGCCCTGACTGCAGACATGTTGAATGATTTTATTAAATGTCTAGGCAAAGAGCTGTGTCAGATTCTTCAACTCCATGCAGCTCAAGTTAATCTTGCCCAGCTATAGACAGTGGCGTCACAAGGGTGGTGCGGGGGGTGCGGCCCGCACCCGGGTGACACCATTGGAGGGGTGACACCAAAATGACTCACAGTCATTTTGGTGTCACCCCCCTCTGAAAAGTCGGGCGCTCGGTCATGGACCGAACGCCCGACAGTATCAGGAGAGAGGAAGGGACCCGGCGGCATACCTTATCCCGCCGGCTGACTGTCCCCTCTTCTCTCTGCCGGCGTCCATCACCAAGATGGCCGCTGGCAGGTATCAGAATGCTGCCGCGCGTGCGCGATGACGTAATTGTGCATGCGCGTCGTGACGTCACGCGCATGCGCAGTGACGTCTCGGCGGGGGGACACTCGGGTACCGCTCCGGGTGTCACCCAGCCTCGGGACGCCCCTGGCTATAGTACATGTCAATAAAAGAAATAAAAATAGTTAACATTAAAAAAATGCTGACTTCTGTAAAAGAAACATTGCCAATTACATCAAGCAGTTGGTTTTGCATATTAGTTCCTGCAGGCAAGTTTCTGGATGGCTTGTTTTACCTCCCTGTTCCTTAAGCAATAGATGATTGGATTGAGAAAGGGTGTGACAACTGTGTAGACAACAGAGACCATTTTGTTAGAATTGACAGATTGAGCCTTACTCGGCCTTGCATACATAAAAAGAGTGGTTGAATAAAGTATGATGACAATAACCAGATGAGACCCACAAGTGGAAAATGCTTTTTTACGCCCATTTGAATTTGGGATTCGAAGGATGGTAGACAATATACACAAATAAGAGAAGCAAGTGAGAAAAAGTGGCACCAAAAGTATAACTAGAGCAAGAATAAAGTCTACAAGTTCAGTTAATTTCATATCTGTGCATGCAAGATTAAGTATAGGTGATACATCACAATAAAAATGGTTGATGATTACTGAATGGCAAAATGTTAGCTGAGAAATGTAGTAGATCTTTAGAAGAGAAATAGCCAAGCCAATGATCCAAGTAGAAAGAGCTAGAATAAAGCAGAAGCCCCAGTTCATTATAGTGATGTAATGTAAAGGATTGCAGATAGCCACATATCGGTCAAATGCCATAACAGTTAGTAAAACACACTCTGTGCAGCCCAGATAAAGGAAGAAAAAAAGCTGGGACATGCAACCAACAAATGAAATCTTATTATTTCCATTCAAAAATATGGACAGTAATTTTGGGACAGTGACTGTCACATACCATGTCTCAAGAAAGGACAGATTCCCTAGAAAGAAGTACATTGGCTTATGTAATTTCTGGCTGTACCAGATTAATATGATGATAAAGAGGTTTTCTACAATGGTCAACATATACATGAAAAGAAATATGAAGAAAAATAGCATCTGGACAGGACGGGAACTGGGAAATCCTAAAATAATGAAAGTACTGATGTCATTTGTAAGGTTTCTCTTCACTTCCATCTCCAAATATATAGCCTGAAAGAGTTTAGATTCAAGTAATGTGTCAAGATGAAGTATACACATAGCTAGGATGGATTTGTTTCTTTTCTTTTTATATTTTATATAAAAAATTATGAGTTTGACAGCATAAGGAAAACTAAAATACAGTCTATTTAAAGTATATCTAGCCAAAACGTTTTTAGATATTGTATAGAGCAGTGGTTCTCAACCTGTATAACCTCAGGACCCACATTTGTCCTTGGTCATTAAGTGGCAACCCAAGTCGCCCTGCAATGGAACGCACGGCATCGCGGTACCAAGCGTTCCAGTGCAGGCAATTTAACCTGGGGACGGGAGGTGTGTTTGGAGTGCCATTCAAACGAATGGCAAGGCAACACACCTAACACACCAGAATGCATAGTAGGTGCGATTGCATGGTACAGTGCATTAATCGCACAGGACTGTTCGATTAACTCACTGTACTAACGTGAACGGGCCCTAAAAAATTACTGACAGACACATACAGCCACAGACACAATCTCACACACACATACACACTCCAAAAACATTTTTTATTTTCTTTCTTTTTTTAAGATCCCCCAGTCTCCCTACCTTACAAGAACTGGAGTGGATCTTCAGCCAGGGGTCCAGTGCTGGCCTGCTGTGCTGTAACGGAGCTCCATCCATACATGCATTGCTTGTACAGCTCCCTTACACACCCTGTGCTGGGAGCCAGAATGTGACATCACTCTAGTCCAGGCACCTCTATAGGACATATGAGGGAGCTGTAAGCAATGCATGTATGGATGGAGACCCCTCACAGCCATCACTCCAGCCCTCAAGTTGACACTCAGCACCAGGCATCATATTCTGAATGGCTGCTTAGTGCGAGAACTGACATTGCTGCGCTAGGGGGAGTCTGAGGAGCCTCTCACTTAAAAAAGTGGAAGGCACGCGGCGACCCACTGAACCTGGGGTCGCGACCCACTTTTGGATCACGCAAAACAAACGACAAACGCACTCAACAATTTGTCACCAGTTATACAGTAAGGTGCACACGAAATGGGCTTTGAACAGTAAAACAGTAGAAATTCATCATGGCACACTCACAAACCAGCATGTAAAACAACTTGTCTCACAGTTGAGGTTAATAACAGAGGTTTTGATACACGTCTTCTGCAGAAAATGTGAAAGCCGCACTGCCGCGCCAAGGCACCTCTTATAGTGCGGTCCTAACTCTAAACTATGAGAGTCTCCATCTTGGAGCACATGGGGGCAGAAGATTTCAAATTGGGTGCAAATGGGGTGCACCCAATTCGAAATCTTCTGCCCCCATGTGCTCCAAGATGGAGACTCTCATAGTTTAGAGTTAGGACCGCACTATAAGAGGTGCCTTGGCGCGGCAGTGCGGCTTTCACATTTTCTGCAGAAGACGTGTATCCAAACCTCTGTTATTAACCTCAGTGGTGAGACAAGTTGTTTTACATGCTGGTTTGTGAGTGTGCCATGATGCCTTTCTACTGTTCCACTTTTGGATCACGACCCACCAGTTGAGAACCAAGAATATAGAGTAAGGAATGGTTAATTCTCAATAGAAACCTCCTCTTTTTATTACTTTAATGACGTCAAATTGATAAGTAATAAATATTGGCACAATATTGGCACTACATTACTTTTTGGTAATGTACTATTATGCTGCAGCTAGGGTAGCACATTGGAGATCCAGACTGCTGCTTAAAACAGAGCATAGAAGTCCCAAACTCTCTGACTGTGCTGCTAATTGGTACACTCTGCGGGAGGTATGTTAGATGACATGCTTTGTGTTTAGCAGCAGTCTGGATCTCAAGCATGCTGTCAGCACAGGGCATTTTAACTCTAGATGCAGCACAATAGCACATAAAAAGATGGCCTCCCTTACTGCAGTCTTACTGCATCACTGTAATAAAAATGGAGGCCTTAGTTGCAGTTCAAATCAGCTTTTTTTCTTCACTCTATTGACCATGATCATTGAGAAGAATTACCTTCACTTCTTGTCCCATAGACATGAGCAGAGGTAAGAGGAAATCTCTCCAAAATAAGGGAAATCCCCTCTTAGACATTTGGCAGTGAAACTAGTAATTCCCATGGGAAGATTTCCCTTCTATGTGTAGATATACGGGCATACCTTGGCCTCAAAGCTGGATAAGACTCAAGCTGCAATCCTGCTTACCACTAACATAAACCAACATGTGTAATCATGTGTAACAATTATACTTTTAGAGACTTCTAATGACTGCGCCATTTCATTTTAAATGGTAGCTATCAGAAACTTCCCAAACCAATGTGAAGTACCATCATGTAAAAAGGTTTTTAGCAGGCATGATTAGCAATCCTCTCATTGTGATGACAGACCACTTCAAGGCAAAAAAGTAGATTTCTGGTTAAAACTGTATGTAGAAGTTATATAACTACTATTAAATACAAGCTAGGGTGCCCGTAGTTTAGGCAGGTTCTACTGGAGACACTGCTATTTACTGAAAAAAGGTACACTGAAGAATCTTGCTCTCTAGCAATGTAACAGCAACTGAGCAAGGCCTAAATGAGCTGATCAGTAAGAGAACAACTCAACAGGAAAAAAATAAGTGGTCTCTTAGCAATGGTTGCCTTTGGGTGGACAGCCTGGAAAAAGGCCTCAGCCAGCTGAGAATCACATAGAAGTGCTACATCCTTGCCTCATCATTGCTGGACTCCAAAAACTGACCCACCTTGCCACAGTACCAGGGGTCTAGGAAGGTGGCAACCCAATGGTCTTTAATCTGTATTATGAAGTTATTCCGTCACAGAAAGAGTATCATATGAGCAACCATGCTGCTGGAGAGTTATCACCAGTGATAGGAACACTTGTGCGAAATGGCCCTGATGGTCGGATGTGAAGGCAGAGTCTCACAGACACTTATAGACCTAAGGCATGTATTAGGTGTATGTAATATTATGTTTTTGGGTATCTTTACTTATGTAACCAAAATCTGACCTACACAACACTGTGTATAACTGCAGGGTGCTATTCGTGTTTTCATTTTTTAGACTGAATATACTTTGCTTCCTACATTTTACATGTACCGTACATATTATTATGGTTTAATGGAAACACGAAACATATACTGATATGTGAAAAACAAACATTATTAAGTAAAATTTCCTGAAAAAAAGACTTTTAAATCTCCATAAAAGCACCTAACATCACTCAGTATACAATATTTACAGGGTTGTTCACAAAACGGTGAAGAGTTTGGAGACGGCAGAAGAAAGAAATTCTCCAATTCAGCTCACTTTCCAGTTCAGCTATTTTGGCCTAGCCCTAGATTGTTCACTTCTCCTGCCTTCTCCAAACTCTTCACCCCTCTGTGAATAACCCTGTCAGTGTTTCAGGATTAGTATTTGTGTAGTAGTAGTCTTATGACCCAGATCAGTTTTACATTTTTAGCTACAGGCCTATTGGCTTGGCAATACATTTGTCATTAATTGTAATGTCAAAGTGATTTGTTTATTTTTGGAGGAACATTTGATGCCTTATTTGATTTATTTGATTGATTTAATTGAATTATTTCATTTTGTATTTATGTTATACAAAAAAAATTGTATTTTGCAACTACAATAATGCTGATGGTTTTAACACTATAACTGATCAAAATTGGAAAAAAAAACTCCAATTATTTTTATATTTATATTACTTATTCCTTTTTGCCTAAAAGGAATAAGTAATATAAAAATAATTGGAGTTTTTTTTCCAATTTTGATCAGTTATAGTGTTAAAACCATCAGCATTATTGTAGTTACAAAATACAATTTTTATTCTGTAACTTGAAATATCTTAATTATTTTGATGCAACATGGAACAAAGGAATCCATTGAAATGTAAACAATACAACATTTACATATTAGCCTTAAAAAAAATGGGCAAGAAATATAACTATAGCTAGAGTGGGAAGGGGTTAATCAGGAGCTAGTTAGGAATAATATGGGGTTATTAGGAGGTTAAATACTTTACAGGTTTTCTGCAGCACAAGTCAGGATTGTATCAGAGAACAAACCTGTGATCTGCACTAAAAAGGCTGCAACTTTGTACATTTGTAACATTTATGCAAGGTTTCCCTAAATATTACTGCACATGGCTGTTGTCGGGATCATTCAGACACCAGCTTCTCTGATTGAATCCTTTAAATAGATCAGGAATTAAATAATTCAGGAGTTTTACATTAAATTGTCCTGGATTGTTACATAATGTGCAAGGTTTTTACATGATTACAATGGAATAAATGTACCTGATAACATGCTGAATTATAAACCTGGAATAAACACACATAGGGAGACATTTATCAATTCAAGGCAAGTGTACTAAACAGGAGCAGTGAGAAAGATCATGCAACAGATTTACTACAAGGTTAAAGCTTTAGCTATAAATTCCTGTACATATACATTACTTCATATTTATATTCCTTATATAATATAAAATCACAATGCGACAGAATAAAACAACAACTTCTTTATTGTGCATCTGTTTAAAGTTTCATCTACAGTGATAAATCTGTCTCAGAACTTTGCAAACTGTTGCACTTGGCTTGCAGCAATTGGTGGAACTCATCCAGTTGACTCAATTTGCAAGTGTGCATGGGGACATAATGTATATTTTGAAAGGAAATACATGCTGATTGATTGTTGACCATCAAAATAATCACAATCATACACAAATAATAACAAAACATAAAGAATACGGCTATAATAACTAGATCTAGGTAAAACATTGCTATAAATAATATATGTAAAATTGCTTTTGTTTAAGCAATAACTGTACAGTTTACTTACATGTCATGAATATAACTTGAAATGTATTTAAACACTACTGTATTTAAGAGTTTGGTTTTTGTTGGCAGATAATGATTTAGAAATGCTTTTCTTACCAGACTAATGTAATTAAAAAAATCTTGAAAATGTGTAATTTAACTACTTTTATACCTTCAGAATCATTTAATTGCTAGTAAAGCAGCTATAGACTCTCATTGTGGAAAACAGTCTCTTAGTTTATTTCGAACAATCCATCCATACTGGGCATGTGCATCATTTTATAATCACAAAAACAATCTGTTTTTTAATTTGTGTGCTGACTTTTCCCAGCTGACCAAGCCTCAGTTGAATAAGTTAGACTTTTGAACTTTGTGGTTATTAATGGATTAAACACATTTAAAACTTTTATGTTCAGTAATATGGCTGAATGTTAACACAAATAAACTTTGCATTATCCAGTAAAACTGCATTATGTAGAGTTTGTAGTCCAAGGAAATCCAGGAAGAATAAAGAAATTGGGCACTCATGATCAATTCAATGCTCCTATTGTTGGGAGTTGTGTGTACCCAAAACTTTTTTTGTGTTGTATAAAATAGAAAAGAGTCAAAACATCTGTGAAGTTTTTGTTTGCTAGCTATGTCCCACTGGGAAAATTTTCCTTCACTTCCTATCCCAGGAACACAACAGCAAGTGAGTGTAAAATTCTCCAAAATCAGGAAATACCTTTTTAGAAAATAGTCATCTAAACAAGTTTTCCCTTTGGAAGATTTCCCCTCCTGTTCAACTGTGAAATGTCAGTGAGGGGGAAATCTTCCTAGCAGGAACACAGACAAAAATTATAACCCTGATGTGGTAAACCCACTACTTTTCTATCCAGATTTAAAAAATAAAAATTGTAGGTCTAATAAATGGAAACTAGGGCTACCTAGTTAACTAGTAAGGTATCTGACTACTCACCTCTTGTATTTGCACTTGTTACTTCGATCTGTAGTCCCAACACCTGGAGATTAGATGTCACATTGATAAATGATTCATTCATTTTTCCAGATATGTTAACTGTTACCTTATGGAATACTGAGACAAAAAAAAGTATCATCCAGCTCAGATATTGGCCTTTAAGGTACATCTCAGAGGGAAATACATTCTCTTGTATTAAAGCAGCTAGAGTGTCCTGCTCCTACTTTCAGTACCCTGTTCCTGCATCCACTGTCCAGTACCATGATAATCAAACCTCAAAGGATACAGAGTAAACAACAGGGCTTAAAAAAGGCTAGGCACCTTTTAGCTTAGGCACTTTGCTGAAGTACAACATTTCCTTTGATATAATTTAAGGAAATTGTACACAGGTCCACCTAGTAACTTCCAAGCAACAAGTGCTAATTAAAACCACCAGATGAGGGGTGTGCATGCCTATGGAAGACTTGAGTTTCAATAGAGAGAGTTAGACATGTAAGCTGGCAAAAAATTCATTTTATTTTATTTTGTTTCGGATTTCCTTTCTCTCGGGTTTTGGGTCCAAATGTCATTTTGTTTCGTTATTCGGATCTTTTGGAATTTCATTTTAATTTCAGAAGGGGTTTTCTGATTGACCAGAAAACAGTGACGTGTTCAACTTAGTTTCATTTTGAATGAAATTCGGATGATCCGAAATTTCGTTAAAAGAACATTCGGATTCATTTGCATTCAACCTCATGGGGATTCGGACATTTGGATGCATTTAAATGTCCAAATTCACAGAATTTAGTCCACCTTTCCATTCAGAACTTTCCTTTACATGTCTAGAGAGAGTAGTATTAACTGCAACCACTAGATGGCAATGCAGTGTTGTAATGTATTACTTGCACTCCATATGGCATTTGTAGACCTTACATGGCACTGTGCATTCCCAAGAATGAATGTAACGTCATATAGGAGACATAACTATGTCACCTTGAGGAAGGGACCCTGCGTGGCCCCAAAACGTTGGCTTTGTATGATGCATGTGACAGTTTAATACATTTACAAATACAATTTCAACATTTTTGGACTTTGTGATCAAAGCCTGTGAGGAGGAAAATCACAGGATGAGGAAGCTCCAGAAGAGGCTGCTGAAGCTGGGTGAGTGACAACAGGAGTTTTGGCATAACCTTTCTGAATTTCATGGGCAATACCTCTGGCGAGGGAGTGTTTTGGTTAACATTGCAATAAATAGGTGAAAATCCCTCGTCTGGTAGTAAAGAGACAAGTGTATACTAGTTCTTGGTGTACTTTGTGTAGTTTTTCCAGATCTGTGCTGTAATCCAGCATTATAAAATGTCTGCACTTTGCGCAGGAATTTCCTGTGATAAAGACTGGTCACTGCTGCTCTCTCTCTTAGTGAAAGATGGCTTGCTGTGTATCTGTCCATTGTCGTTTTCTGAGTAGTGGCTGGATTTGTTGGGTTAAACCCAGTTATGCTCTCTGCTCAGGCTATGTATAGCACAGTAAGGATGTTACTACCTAGGTTGGCAAACATATTTGGTGCACAGGAATTGATTTTATAACCTTTGTGGTTATTGAAAAATATATTCAAAAGAAAGTTTTGTGCCTGACATTTAGCTTTCATAAACTCTGCTCTTCACATCTACAAAGTAGCATACATTTCTATAGGATGCACTCAAATATTTCAGATCCCCATGGACCTATTGCCAAGAACCACACTGAGCCACATCAGACTTACTGTTGTCCCAAATGTTTCTTTTATGGTTGGGATTAAGTATTTATATTCTTATTATGAGGTTGCCCTGTATTACCATCTATGTGATTGGGGTCATTTAAAGTGGTAAGGGGTGAATATTAGTTTTTGGCTTTCATGTGTTTTTTTTGTTTGTTTGTACACTTTAACTAAATAAATGCTGCATGGCGTTTCAGAGTTCTGCTCTCAAGCTTTAGTTTGCTTTATGTCAGTTTCCAAAAAAAGGTAAATTTTACTCTGAATTGTGACTCCACAGTGCTGGATTCTATCATTGTTGAATTACTGGAAGAAGGAAAAACATGCTCTCTTTAGACCTCTAAGAAATATCAGATTTAATGGGTGAACAGTGATCTTTTTGACAGTTTTAACACACTAACATTAAAAAAATAATAACTTTTTTTAAATTTCAATAAAGTTATAACAGGAAATATATATTTATTTACTGCACTAGCTGTATGGGGAATTTCAGCCCTGACATGGAAATTTGCCTGTTCAGAAATCTGATGGGGGTATTTAAGCTGGCTATTACGAAGCTGGGAGCTCAAGATGGCATATTTATCTTTAATCATAGTTTTAACTTTTTTAAGGTTAAAAAAGACCAGATGGCCAAAGTCAGTTACAAGCAGTTGGGAAAAATCTGGGGAATGAGTAATATACTCCAAACATGATCTATTAGTTATTTTAGCAAGTATGTTGAAGAAGCACCAACATAAAAACCTTTCATCAGGGTTCTAATCAACCCTTTTCTAATCATAGTCCTTAAAATGTGGTTTGAATCAAACAACCCATAGTAAAATTTCAGCATGTACTGTATGTTAATACAGGTCTACTTCCAATTAATTTTCTTACATTCATTGCATGCACATTTCATTTTCACAAAAAGTTCTTATTTTTCCTAAACACAAACAACTGAATTTAATGGGTTACACTTCCCATTTCAAAACGGCATTTTTGTCAGATTAGAAAATGTTAACAGAAAAAAACTAAAACTTCTCTGAATATTAAAAAAGTAATAATTTCCTCATAGTTTTCAATATGGTCTGATGATAACATAACCATGTGTAGGACTATCTCTGATGGCTGAAAACTTCATCAGGCCACCACCATGAGGAGTAAGGTCTACTGGCCAGGATAGATTTTTTTTGGACAGTTCTCTAATGATAAGAGTGATACTGCAGTGACTGCTCTGCAGTATACAGAGGTATACAGTCATAAAATGCCAACATGAATGTTCCTGTAGAAAAACATATAAACAAACAAACAAACAGCATATTATCCACCTGTTGTCAATGGTCAGTTGCCTTGTTCATAATGTGTTTTTGCAACTGATAACAATTGTCATCTAGCAATAAAAGATGTTCTATACCTCTCTGGTAACTTTGGGTTCATGACCTTCTTTAATGCTTTTTTAACATCTTTGTTTCGCAGACAATAAATAATAGGATTTAGTAGTGGGGTCACCACTGTATTAAAAACACCTAAGACCTTATTTACATCCATTGGGTAGGACAAACTAGGTCGAACATAAATGAATATGACTGTTCCATACAGAATAATTACAACTGTGAAATGTGAGGCACATGTTGAAAAGGCTTTTTGTCTCCCTTTGGTGGATGGGATTTTAACTATTGAAGATACAATCAACACATATGATACCACCGTGAGCACCAGTGAAGTGAGGATAATACCGCAGGCAAAAAAGAAGACTACAATTTCTTCTAGAAAAGTGTCTTGGCATGAAAGCTTGAGAAGTGGCGGGATGTCACAGAAGAAATGGTTGATGACAGTAGGTTTGCAAAATGTCAAGCGAGATATCAAAAGCACAAGGAAGAACACAGAGATGAAAGCTACTGACCAACAAGTTATAGTAGCTTGAATACATACTTGACCATTCATGATGGATGGATAACGCAGTGGGTTACAGATAGCTAGGTAGCGGTCAAAGGCCATCACTCCCAGAAGGAAAAACTCTGTAGAACCCAAAGAGAAATAAAAATACATTTGAGAGAGACATCCAGGAAATGAAATGTATTTCCAGCCAACCAGATTGGTCAAAAGCTTAGGAGCAATAGATGATGTATACCAAATCTCTAGAAAAGAGAGCTGGCTAAGTAGGAAGTACATAGGAGTGTGAAGTCTTGTGTCAATGCGAACTAAACAAATAATGGCTACATTAGCAGTCAAAGTCAAAAGGTAAATGGCTAAGAAAACCACAAAGAGAAATAGCTGCAACTCTACAGAGATAGTGAACCCAACTAAAAAGAAGTGTACTGCACTGCTTTGATTTTCCATGGTAATCTTCTCCCTGTGAGGATAACAGAGAAAACATGGAGAATACATAGAGCTTTATGTACACTTTCTTTTATACATTAATGCTATGGCAAAAATAGCACTTGAACCTGAAATCTTCAATGGCAGATGCAATCAGGACACACTGTGACTTATTTTTTAAGATGGATAGTTAAATGCAGCCCAGAACCACCAAACAGGATGAATCTTTACTACCTTAAAAGAGAACTATGGGTAAGTGTTTTTCCCCATAGTTCTCTTAATGGGTCACGGGAGGACATATACTAACCCTCTCCTGTGACCCAAAGCTCAGTATATCGCGAGCTACAGCTTGCAGTATACTGAGACAGCCGCAGCTGGGACGGATCCCGATATTACTGTTGAGATCTACCCTTACACTTTCTTTTATACATTAATGCTATGGCAAAAATAGCACTTGAACCTGAAATCTTCAATGGCAGATGCAATCAGGACACACTGTGACTTATTTTTTAAGATGGATAGTTAAATGCAGCCCAGAACCACCAAACAGGGTGAATCTTTACTACCTTAAAAGAGAACTATGGGTGTTTCCCCATAGTTCTCTCAATGGGTCACGGGAGGACATATACTAACCCCCTCCTGTGACCCAAAGCTCAGTATATCGCGGCTACAGCTTGCAGTATACTGAGACGCCGCAGCCGGGACGGATCCCGATATTACTGTTGAGATCTACCCAGCTGTGTGAGTGACAGCTGGCTCTGCCTATCTAGAGGCAGAGCCAGCTGTACCCGCCCCCTCCCCCGTCCGTTCCTCCAGTCAGCGCTAGAGGATCGGAGCGGGGAGGGGGGAAGCCCTGCAGGGAGCCGTGACTGATAGCCACTGCTCTCTGCAGGGAGATGATCGAGAAGTGAGCGAGCTACGATATGTGTTCACTTCCCTATCTATTGAGCCGATGTGTGACAGTTTCATTGTCACACGTCGGCTCCAACTATGAGGATGAGTGATTTTCACTCACCTCATAGTTCTCCTATAAGTAAAGATGTTTGCTACACACACCTATTCTTTGCACTGCTTTATTAAATAAGCTCATGCATATAACTTAGCAATTTCATTTTTCTAAAAACAATCTGCCCTATTGCATTGAGAAGAACAATAGGCTGCCTAAATAGATCTGTTTGATTTATCAAAATATACAATATATTTTTAACTGCCTCCAGGCCAGCCGTAGTAAAAAAACGGCCGGCCAGGAGCTCTCTCGATCTGAGCGGGCGTCTCTAGACGTCTGCTCAGACACACCCCCTTGCGCGCGCCACCAGGCACGACCCCAAAAAATTGTATAAAATTAATTTCAGTACAGCGTTGCATGACGGAATAAACGTCAGTCAAAGTATCGCAGCGCTGAATACTGAAAAATGGCCTGGCCAGGAAGGGGGTCTAAACACCTGGTCTTGAAGTGGTTAAGGACAATTATCATAAAACAATAAGAGCATTTTCTCTGCTTAGTACTATTAACTATTTATTAAGGGTCACTAAAGGTCACCCAGCCTCCCTACAACAGTCAAAAGATACGTAATTGGGTTGGCTGGTTAGTGCCACATTTGTGCTGCTTTTATTTTTAAAATAAGAGCAATGATCCTAAAACCAAAAGTCACCATTGGTGACTATAATTGGTATTATCTTAAAAATTAAAGCAGCTCAAATGTTAATTTTTATGGCACAAACCAGCACAAATGTGGCACTAACCAACCAGCCTGTTTTCATGTCTTTTAGCTGTTGTAGGGGGGCCACGTGACCTTTGGTGACCCATGAATTTTTAATCATGTTTTTTCAATCATGTTCCATTGCATAAGATTCTGATTGTCATCTGTATATGAATGAATTTATTTATGTGGAGTGAGCTTACAGGGGAATCATGTTGTCAATTTTATAAATTCTACTTACCTTTTAATCAATTAAAATATTTTTTCTAAAAAAGTCTTGGTGTGCAAGTTGTCAGTCGGCTGCCTAAAAAACCCCAACTTTCCTGATTTTTTGATATACCACTTTCAGGGGTGTTGGCATCATGTGCCTTGATCTAGGTCATTTCCTTTTCAAATCAACAGTCAAAAGATACGTAATTGGGTTGGCTGGTTAGTGCCACATTTGTGCTGCTTTTATTTTTAAAATAAGAGCAATGATCCTAAAACCAAAAGTCACCATTGGTGATTATAATTGGTATTATCTTAAAAATTAAAGCAGCTCAAATGTTAATTTTTATGGCACAAACCAGCACAAATGTGGCACTAACCAACCAGCCTGTTTTCATGTCTTTTGGCTGTTGGAGGGGGGCCACGTGACCTTTGGTGACCCTTAATAAATAGTTAATAACTCAAAAACAAAAGGAGATAGAATGGAGATTTAAATGGCACAAACCAGCACAAATGTGGCACAAACTAACTATCCTAGTTTCATGTCTTTTGGCTGTTGTAGGGGGGCTGGGTGATGTCATCATCTTAAAAAAAACAATTGCTATTATCTTAAAAATAAAAGCAGAACAAATGTTAATTTTTATTGGCACAAACCAGCACAAACATGGCACTAACCAGCCAGCTCAGTTTTGTGTCTTTTGGCTGTTGTAGGGGGCTGGGTGATGTCGTCGTCATCATCTTAAAAAAAACAAGTGCTATTATCTTAAAAAGTAAAGCAGCACAAATGTTAATTTTTGCAGCACAAACCAGCACAGACGTACAACTAACCAACAACCAACCACCAAGTTTCATATGTTTTGGCTGTTGTAGGGGGGCTGGGTGACCTTTGGTGACCTTCAATAAATAGTTAATAACTCGAAAATGAAAGGAGATAAAATGGAGATCTAAATGGCACAAACGTGGCACTAACTAACGAGCAAGTTTCATGTGTTTTGGCTATTGTAAGGGGGCTGGGTGATGTCATCATCTTAAAAAAAAACAATTGCTATTATCTTAAAAATAAAAGCAGCACAAATGTAGCACTAAAGAAACACACTGGAGTTTTTATTTGTGCCGACGCCAATGTTAAATTGTACTTTGCTCTAAAGGGCCAAAGATGTCTTGGCTGTGACGGGATCAAACATCCTTTGGTCTGCAATATATAAAGCCATACAAAGTTAACCGTGCTCTAGGTTATTTAAGGCATGATATACCCCCAATTAAAGAGACACTACAGTGACAGGTGCTCTTTATTGAGACATCAGAGGTCTATTAGACTCTTAATGTCACCTATACCTGCTCAAACTTGACAATAGTGACACTATACTCAGGAGTTAATTTTTTTAAATGCATTTAAGTACCTTAACTATTAACACAAATGTATCTCATTTGTGTGTCACTCAGCTTTAGATCCTCAAATCATCTCTGAATTGGTGCTGATACTGTCCTTCCTTCTGGAGGGTGGCTACTTTGGTTCCCCATGGTCCCTGTGTGTGTTGTAAAGCAGTCACAGCTCCAAGCTCGCTCCTGTGATAAACTACAATCTCCTGTTTAATTTACTAATTTGGCCTCCTTACTATCCTGTCTTGACTTGTATTGTAACTGTAATGTCCTCCTTATATTGTAAAGCGCTGCGCAAATCTCGCTCTCCCCAAGGAACCCATGGCAAACCCCCCACAATAACCAGAATACCACTCAGAAATAGAAAGGAAGGTCATCTGATCACACAAGTCATGAGGGGGTAAAGACGGTACAAAAATATAAATTAAAAAATAAAGAAATATATAAAGAAAGAAAGAAAGAAAGAAATGGGAGGCACTGGCTGTTATATCCTATTAACAGGGGAATCTTTAGAGCATCTGAGAGGAGGACTACTCACGGAGTGGAGACTTTCGGAGGAGACGACGGGGCGAGAGCGGAGAGGCGGAGTGGAAGAAGCTGGTGGGTCTATACTGGAAAAATAAAAGTTGTTATTAGTGTTATTAGGCTGTCACTTGACAGCAGTGAACGTTAAAACTCTGGGGATACTCATGTATGGCCACAGGCCTAAAATCCACAGGGGGGCGAACATTGCCCTGGGGCAATAGCCTGCACAGCAGACTAAAAGCACGGGGGTCTAGTGCCCAGGGCAATGTATAGTGACGAAATGCTCAGAAGTCGATATCCCCTGGCATGTTATATTCTGTTGAAACAAAATATTCCTACTTTATCGTTCCTTCTTTTGTCTTAAAATAACCTGAATTTTACAATGTATACACTTCAAAAGATACTGAAAAATGTTGGTATTTAACAACTGTGAATGTTATGGTAACTGTATATCTCTCTGACACGATTAAAACTATTTAAAAAAAAAAAAAAAAAAAAGCACTGCGCAAACTGCTGGAGCTATATAAATCCTGTATAATAATAATAATCTTGTAAAATAGCTGAAGGATGAAAGTAGTATTCACGTATTTCTCTAACCTGTATTGTTATGTTATGAAGTTTTAAGATGGCACATTCTGGGTCAGTGTTGCTCCATGTCTGTGTTGGCTAAGAAGCGCTGACAGTCAGAAGGATGCAGTTATATAACATGGAATCAGGTCCTGAGATAATTCAATAATCACTTCTGAGACCATCCTGACCAAATACATTTGAGAGCAGATTAATAAACACAAAGATATTAATCTTATTTGACATCATATGTTTATTTATGCTTCTTTCCTTAACAGCAGCAGTGAACTCGTATTAAAGAAGAACTTTGGGGGGGTTCAAATTAACCCTTGCAGCCGGGATACCCATGCACTGCAAGGGTTAAGTGCTCGCTTCAGTCTAGAAGTGAAAATAAAGAAGATACACTCACCTGATCCTCGGTCCTGCTGCAGTGATTGCTCACCCCTCTTCCCTTCTGCTCCAGCTGCGGCATGTCCCTTGGTGTCCTCACGTTTGACGGACCTGCATTAGACGTGGTGACGTCACAGATCCTTAGACCACTGGCGTCCAGGGTAGAAAAGACTGCACCGACCAGTCTAGCTGGCAGGCAGGACCGAGGATCAGGTGAGTATATTTTCTTTATTTTCGTCCATAGACCAAAATGAGCACTTACAGGAGTAGCCCCACCGCAAGGGTTCATTTGGAAAATATAATCAATGGCTTCTCCAATGTCAGCAGGGGGTTATAATGGCTGTAAATGAGTGACCCTGGGAAATCAGTTGAGTTGAGCCAAACCCCCCCCCCCCCACCCGGGGTGCGACCTGGGGGGAAGGGTTCTGTGGATTGTCTGGTCTTTCTAGGCCTGCTGCCTAGGGAGGTAACCATGTGCTCAGACTGAGGTCTAGGACTGAGGCTCAGTGAGTGAAGCTTGATGATGGAGTTGACATGGAGCAACTTCAACAGGTATACAGGAAGCCTGAAACGTTGATCCTCTACTGAAGCATGGTGATTTCTTGACATGGACTAGTAGCTAGTAGTATTTTAAAGCCAGAAGCTAAAGACACAGATTAACGCAATCGGCATAAAGGTCCTCTATCTGTGAAAGCTGCAAGTACTTTATGTTTTAGTTTGGAGTCTACAACATCCTGGGTGTCCTGTGCCCTTGCCCTCTCTCCCAAAGTTCTTTAATAAAACTTAATTGAGCATTGTATCTTCTATGTGGAGAACAATTTTATCAGTGGAGGGTCAGTAAGTGCTTTTGGGGTCGCAATGGAACTGTAAACCCTAGACAGGCATGGGGGACCCAATTCATCCCGCGACTCCTTCGGGGGTGAGCGCTACAGTTAGATCGACTTTTGCCGAAGAAATATGTTGGATATTCCTCGGCCGAATGGTGCTTGCAGGCTGTCGGCTGCAAGCACCGTTCAGGTATTCTGGCAGCGGCCAGCACCATATTCTTACTGGCGGCATCCTTAACCACTTCCCATCCAGAGCAACCAAACATGTCAAGCTTTAAAATTGCGTTCGCCTGTGAAGCAGCAACAAATTAAATATCCCAAATTTCCCATCAGCAACGCTTTAAACGCTTTTACCACTTATCAGTTTAGTGCTAACAGTGATTGACAGCACTAGAATTATTGCTCTCACTCCAACATTCGCGGCGATATGTAAAATTTGTAGCCCAATTGTCGTTTTCGCAAGTAAGAGCACCGAAGCGTGTTTGCGTGTGTATGTGCATGCACGTGGCGGGCGGGGGGACTTAAAAAAAATTTTTTTGCATTTTTTTATTTTTCTTATATGTTACTTCAATGTTTTTTAAATTGTTAAACACTTTTTTTTCACTAACCTTATTGCTATCACATAGGGGGCTAACAAGCACCCTATGTAATAGCAGATAGGGTGTGATAGGTCCTCTTTATGGAGACATCAGGGGTCTTCCAGACCCCTAATGTCACCTAGGGACACCAAAGAAGCTGCTTGCTGGGGAAGCTGCTTCCCCAGAGATCTGCTTCCCCAGCTTCTTCTCCTGGCTCTAAGAGCCGGAGACTGTGTACAGTGACACCGGAAGTCATGTAAAACACATCACTTCCAGGTTTAGTGATCAGAGGAGAGATCAGCGGCTGCAAGCTGCAAGCTGAATTTCTCTCCGATCATTGTGAGGAGACCCGCTGAGCCGGTCCCGGGCACCGCACAGGGACAGTGGTGCCCGGGGAAGCAGACAGTGGCCCCGGCAGGGGGGAGCAAGGGGGAGCAGGGGACAGCGGCGCTCTGTACAAACAATTCAGCGGCTGTATAGATGCTGGATCACTTGTACATTAACAGCCATTACAGCCAGAAGTGGCTAATATCACCTATAACTGCTCAAACCATTGTATGTGACAGCCATCGCCAGCTGCAAAAAACAGATGCTGAAAATCTTGTAATAACCACTTCAGGACAGTGCCATTTATATATGCATAGTCGTTCTAAAGTGGTAACATGGCTAGCCAGCAGCGCAAGATAGTGGAGGATTAGGAACAGTGGAGGAGGGGTGTTGCTAGGACTGTGAAAGACTTGGGTCACCTTTGGGCACTCTGAGGAGAGGAATGATGTGGTGCACTGTGGTGAATGGTGGATGTCTCCAAATTGTGCTAAGTGGAAGAGGTTTAAAGGAGTATGGGTAAATAAAACATAAGCCTACTGTGCTCTGGGTCAAGGGTGTATAATGTACAGAGTGCAGGGGTCAGGAATGCATAATACACAGACTGTAGTGATGAGTAAGTAAAACACGTAGTACAGTCAAGAGTAGGTTAAACACAGAGTGCCTCCCAAGCAAAAATTACCCCTCCACCAATTTAATTTCATCCCAACCCCATGACAAAATCAACTCCAGCACTAATTCCCCCCTCCCTCACTGGACATTGGCATTGCACTGCATCTGCTATGCTACTGGTAACAGGCTAATGCCACACGTGCCTGCATTTGTTTTCTATAATTTAATTATGCAACTGCCCTCTTCTGTGCCTACCTGCTGTTCCATCTGCTACCTGTCAGGCCTGTAAGTCAGAGCTGAGGAAAAGTTTGAGAACACTTTCTTTTTGTGCTACAGGTCCATGGAGGCAGGTGACCTTTCAGGGACATAAGCTGGCAGCTGCACAATTTACATATAGGGGATAAACGCAGACAGTGGTACTGTTGGAATCCAGAAAACACATCTGGGATGTTTTGTTTGCCAGGGACAGACCCCTCAAAATGGGGACTGTCCCTAGCAAACTGGCACCCAACTGTTTGTTTTTCCCAGGCCAAGGATGTGCCCTGAGATATTTAAAATACTAGCCTCTTAAGCCTCTTGGGGGTCATCCCACACTTCCCAGGGGTAAGGGGGGGGGGGGTCCTACCCAGGTAACTACCTCACCCACAGCCTTTTTTTCTAGACACACTTGTCACTATTTCCACAGATACATGAAGCTGCCAGAGAGTGACGACCATACCTTAATGTTAATATTTTCAGATATTAATATATATACATTTGTAATATTAAGTAGACATGTACCCTCCTGTTTAGTTCCTCTAAAGTAGCACTGCAACAGAATAAAACCTGACCCTGACCACTTTTTAATAATTCATCTGTTTAGAGAACATCTCTCTTCGGTGATAGATCTCAGACTTTGTAAATCAGTCATAGTTGGCTGCCTAGGATTACAGGTGCAGGGGTCACGAATACACCAAAAAAGTTGCATAGACTTTGCTAAATGAGAGAGATTTGTATACAACTGTGTCATTAATTAGCTTGATAAATGTCCCGCAGTGTGTCAAAATGTATGATGCCATCACCCATACGGAAGCAAATAACTGAAAATGCATATGGACTAAACAGAGAATACATCATATCTAATCCTATATCCTGTATAATATAAAAATATAAGAGAATTTCCCCCATGGAGAGTTACACCCTCACTGAACATGCTTCTATACCCTCTCTGCTCTGCTTCTCTGTGTTTACTCCTCTCCTACAGCTGTCCATTGTAAAAAAAAAGCCCCTCGTGAATTCTGTCAACAGTACTTGTCGCTTTTCCTACATTTCTGCTTTTCCTCTTCGTGCTGCTCTCAAATCCCAACCACCTCCCTTCTTTTTAATGTTACATTCTCCTCCTGTGAGGCTGCTTATCTTCCCCTATGTTGTCATCCTATGCTCTAAAGCTATTCCCCACTTACAGCTAACAGCACATGGAATACACAAACACCATGTCGGCAGGGCCGGATTAACGTAGGGGTAGGTGGAGCTTCCGCTCCAGGCCTGCCCATGGAAAAAGGCCCTGCCGACCCGGATCGCCTCAGTATCCGGGTCAGTAACCCGCCACAATCAGGCAGCTGTGGCCCTCTATTCAGGCATATTAGAGGGCAGCGAGCGGCCCTCTAATATGATACCGAGGCCGCACCCCGTCATCCTGGTGAGCCCGCACTGACTGCCTAGAGGCCCTACTGACTACCCAGAGCCACTACTGACTACCCAGAGCCCCTACTGATTACCCAGAGCCCCTACGGACCGCCCAGAGCCCCTACTGACCGCCCAGAGCCCACACTGACCACCCACAGACCGCACTGACTACACAAAGCCCGCATTGACTGCCCGGAGCCCACACTGAATGGCCGGAGCCCGCACTGACCGCCCACAGTCCGCACTAACCGCCCAAAGCCCGCACTGACTGCACAAAGCCCCCACTGACTGCCCACACTAACCGCCCAAAGCCCGCACTAACCGCCCACAACCTGCACTAACCGCCCACAGCCCGCACTGACCACTCAAAGCCCGCACTGACCACCCAAAACCCGCACTGACCACCCAGAGCCCGCACTGACTGCCCAAAGCCTGCGCTGACCGCCTAAAGCCCGAACTGACCACCCAAAGCCCACAATGACCGCCTAGAGCCCGAACTGACCACCCAGAGCCCACACTGACCTCCCAAAGCCTGCACTGACCACCTAAAGCCTGCACTGACCAGCCAGAGCCCCTACTGACTGCCCAGAGGCCCTACTGACTACCCAAAGCCACTACTGATCACCCAAAGCCCGCACTCACCACCACACTGACCAACCAGAGCCTGCACTGACCACCCAGAGCCCAAACTGACCACCCAAAGCCCGCACTGACCACCCAGAGCCAACACTGACCACCCACAGCCAGCATTGACCACCCAAAGCCCGCACTGACCACCATACTGACCACCTAGAGCCCACAATGACCGCCCAAAGCCCGCACTCACCACCACACTGACCACACAGAGTCTGCACTGACCACCCATAGCCCAAAATGACCAGCCAGAGCCCACACTGACCACCCAAAGCCCGCACTGACCACCCAAAACCAGGACTGAACACCCAAAGCCCATACTGACCATCCAGAGCCCGCATTGACCCCGCAAAGCCAGCACTCCTTACCACACTGACCACCCAGAGCCTGCACTAACCACATAGAGTTCAAACTGACCACCCAAAGCCCGCACTAACCACCCA